TGTGTACTTTTAAATAATTTTTTTCTGTTCTTTGATGTTTTAAACATTGTATGAAAAAATATATAAATATTATTTTAGTAACTGTTTCTAATTTTTATATCTTATCTCTATATCATTATTACAAGCTTTCTAATACCTTTTCTGATGTTTTTGATGCAGTCGCGGCATTAGGTACATTTTCTTTATTCACCAAGTTAATTCTTTTTTTTTCTGCTCTAGATTTCATTGTTCCCGATAATCCAAAGTGTTGCGTACAGTAAAAGCGTCCTCCGTTTTTTTCTCGATCAAATGTATGATTTCCTGTATAACAGTAATGATTTCGTATCGAAAAGGTTTATAAAATATTATAAAGAGAGAATATAATATTACCTATTCTTAACGAGATGGAACAATATTCACAACGGAAACAACCGCGGTGAAAGAATTTACCTTCCGCACTGAGTCTTTCCATAAGGTAAACTCTTTTATTGCAAAAATGGCACATCTCTGAACCCCCTTGCACTGGTAGTGCGATAGTAGGCTTAGTGTTCTAAACAAAAATGAATAATAAATAAATAATTTTATATACCGAGTGCCCATTTTAATTGACCACCTTAAATATCTCTTGGACGCTGCATTTTAGGGAAAATGCTTGAGATAAAAATTTTGTAACTTCGAGGGAGACATAAGATGGTACCATTCGTTTGATTTTGGTTGGCGTTATCAAGATCAGAGCAAGTAGGTCATTTTAAATTTTTAAATAACAGAACTCCCCAAAACATTTATAATAAAGTATTTTTTTATTAAGTACTTTTTGAATTATAAAGCTTGGAAGTTATAATACAACCAGCGTTAACATTATTCAAGGTGTTCAACCGATGATTAAAACCTCTTGAATGTTATTCACGATTATTACCTGGATAACATTTGTCAAGATCCATTGAAGATTGTTTCTCTTATTTTTATTTTCAAGTAAAAATAAATTTTTAGTACAAAAATGAAAATAAGAGAAACAACCTCCAATGACCTTTTGACAAATGTTATCCGGGCCATAATTATGAATAATATTCAAGCGATTTCAGCCGTAGGTCGGATACCTTGGGTAATGCTTATGCTAGTGATAGATACTATAACTTTCAAGCTTTATAACTCGAAAAATAAAAAAAATATGTTATTGTAGTGTTTTAAAAAACTTTAAAAAGCTTGAAAAGTTGCACGTTCCTAGGTAGTGGGATGGATCTCTCTTCACAGGGAAAATTGTGTGTGAACGTCCCTAAGCGGAGAGGATTTGCTTGAAGTCGTTACAAAATCAAACATTTTCTGCTTTAAAAGTAAATTCTCCGCTTTAAAAACAAATATTATATAAAAAAATAATGTTTTCAAAGAAAATTTGTATTTTCAAAGCACAATTTTTATTTTAAATAAGAGGGATCTTCTATTCTATATAATTACCTATATTATAATTTACGTATTTATAATCACCACCTAGAAAAACTATGCTGAAAAACTTCATTTACTTTGTACACTATAAGATTATAAACATATTAAAATTTAACAAGAAATCAAAAGAATTATATCTAGTATAGACATATTTTTAGAATATTTTGATGCGTGTTATATATTATATATACCAGAATTAAACAAAATCTTATAAAAATGCCTTGTGTAAAATTGTCAATCTCTTAAAGAATGCGAACCTACTGTAATTTATATCTTCTCTCTTAAAGAATTTTGTAATTAAATAAATTTCTCTTTATATAAAACGGAGATATAAGACATAATAAACGCTATGGACGTTAAAATTTTAATATTCCATTGTCTATTTTCCTACAAAGACCTTAAAGTTCGTATTTACCGATTTCTGCAGCTTGGGTTCCACATGATTGGGTTCCTGATTTTTATTCGAAAATTGTTCAGCCATAGCTGAAACTTTATTGTATCCGAGCGCGCTACCTTCCTGAATCTTCTTGCCTATATTCTTCAGAGTATTATCTATATCAGCGTACTTACTGTAGGTGTTCCTTTGATCGTTGCCTCGTTTCTCCATCTTAATCTGCCGAGCTAAAAACTGAATGAAACATATACACATCTGAAAAAGTGCGAGAATGTCAATGTTATTAAGTGTTTTTTTGCCAACCTGCTCGCGACTCCACTTCGGCACTTTTTCTACGCGTTCGTGGCGAACACTGCGACCCATCTTGTTCTCTTCGATTTTTTTTTCAATTTCTTTCACGTTCCAGTCAGTTTTCTCAATTTTACCTACGTACAAATATATTTTATTACTCGATTTGTAAAGTGACGTTTACAATGAAATTAAATGAAGTATTCCTCGAACAAAAAAATAAGTTCATAGTTCTATCAGTTGAACAATCTCATTAAACAAGCATATTAAGCAACAATAGTAAATAATATATATTTTTATTCGTCAAATAAATTTAGTAACGAAAATATTAACACTTTTATTTAAGGCGTAAAATTTAAGTTTTAACAAATTAAGCTGTAAAAAATTAATCATAGTCAATTATTCTCCTCATATACGATTGGTTAATTTCTTACGGCTTAAGACTTAAAGTTTAAGTTTTAGCCCGAATCTACAATAGATTTTTAAGCCTTAAGCCATAAAAAATGGATGAATCATAGTCGATTATTCCTCTGTGCATTGTAGACGTCGCTTAACACATAACAAAGAAAACTTGATTGATATTGGATATATAAATGAAAAATATATACAAACCGATAGCACGTAAAAGATCTTTAGGTTTCTTCTCGGAGGATGTTGTCCCTTTCAGTTTATCTTCAAAATCTTTTATTCTTCCCGAGAATTCTTCGTCTACACTATCTCTTCGGTAACTAATGTGTATTTTAGGTTGTCTGTCCTAGGAATAATTAACAACTTAATAAAAATATCTTATGAGCAAGCGAGAATGTTGTAGAGAATTAGTATGAATATTAACACAAACGATGCAAGCAAAAATTACGGACATCTTACAAAGTACATTTTAAGTATTTATAAATATATGTTATAAATATTTATGTCCCTTGAAAAATACATATAATAATAATAAGTATTCTGAAGAATTAAATAAATAGTTAAATTCAAACGTAATTCTTCAAACTCTCAAATACAATTAATGCAATTCAGATGAATTAATTTCCATTAAATTAAATATAATATATTGTTATTTAAATTTTTTCTTTCTTTAGACGCACGCCAGTTTCGTATAATGTAAGTAAGAGTAAATAGAGTATTCCTTGAACAAAAAAATAAGTTAGAAATTCACAGTTCTGCCAGTTCAACAATCTCTTTAAACAAGCATGTTAATCAACAATGGTAAATAATGTATAAATAATAAATGCAACTCAAACAAATTTAGCAACGAAAATATTAACATTTTTATTTTTCTATTGCAATCGTATCAAGTTATGGCGTTAGAAAATATGTATATATTTTCTCTGTGTATATTTAATATGAATAATACGAATGCAGTAAGAAACAAATAATTTAGTAAAAGAAAATTCATTATTATGTCGAATATCTTTAGAAACGTTATTTCGAACATCAAAGACACATAGACGTTTTTCGTCAGCACATAGAAAAAAAGAACATAATCAAACATTTGCACTCATCACTTAATCTCTAGCTTACTGGATAAAGTATTTTCTGCTCTAAGTCTTTTACTCTATCCTTGAAATCTGGTGCAGTTTGACGATATAAAAAAATTGAGTAATCCTCAAAAGGTTCATCTTTCTCGCGTTTTGCATTGGCTTGCAGCATCTGCATGCTTTTGTAGAACTGTTGGGTTGCCATCTTGCGCAAATACTGCCGCTTCTTCATGCGCTCAGTTTGATGCTTCTCAATCTCATCGAGTCTTTTCTGTCTTTCAGCCTTTATTACGAGTTTACGATTGTCATTAGTCGCGTGATCAATTAACTATGAATGCTAATCTATTTTTTTGAGACAATCCAAGCAACGAAATGTTTCTTTGCAGCAAAGCGAATCAAATTATGCAAGAAAGCATGAAGCAGCGACAGGACGGGATACATGTAAGCACAGTAAGTTCTTTAAAATCGTAAATCTTGTACAATATATTCTCATTTTTAATGGCTTCTTGACTCATTTGAAAAACAGCATTTTTGTAAATCAAATGTAAAATTAAGATAAAAAAATTCATAAAACGGTAAAAAGTTTTAAAAATATATGTATGTTAAGAAAGAATGAAACAAAAGAAAATTAATGGATCTATAAAGTTTCTATTTATTAGACTACTGCTAGCATAATTCTAAATTTTTTATGCATAATCGACTACTTATTGTTAATTTTAGCCATGATTTACATACACATATAAAAATTAAAAGATTGTGTATAATGTTCTGGCATAATCTCCTAAGAGTTTAAAGAAATTTTACACAAAGTTTTATATAATAGCAATTATATTAACAATAGATTATATAAAAGATCTGACAATAATAGTTTGGACTTATTATCTTTTATAGTAGATTACGCGCATTCAGTACGTGTCCGATTCCTCTCGAAGGATGGTAAAGGTAAGTCCAATAAATATGATTAATAATGACATGAATATTCCGCGACACATAACATCTTCAATCTTCTGCCATCGTGACTACGTAAGATATAATTCAGTTATTTTAGCAACTTTCTAAAAGTTGCATACTGCTATATTAGATCTATAAATTTACAAAAAAAAAAAAAATTTAATTTTGTTTATGGATAAATAAATTTTTTTCTCTGGAAAAGGAGGATTTTTGGATTTTTTTCCAAAAATTTGAATACTTTTTGTGAAATTGCCATTAACTTTGGCTGCGTTCAGCAGAGAAAGCAGCTTTGCAACTGTTGCAAAATTCTCAGATATGATTGGTTTTTACGTTTAGATCCAGTGAGGAACTAAGGCAAAGACCTTGAGAACTAAGGCAAGACTAATCATATTAAAGAATTTTACAAAGCTGCTTTTCCTCCTGCTGAAAACGCAGCCTTTGTCTTAGATAAGCACTGGTCATTTTAAACTGTAAATAGATGGATAATTCTTTCTACTTACCATCGTCGCGCCCACTTTCTCGGTACTCCGCCTTTTTCGAGAACGCCGGCTAATAGTATTATCCTTTTTATCCATGTAAGAGTGCACATTTTCATTAGCATGCCGTGAGCGCGAGTGCCGTGTTTTTATAACCTTTTCCTCAGACGTCCATTGTTTCAGTTGCTTCGAATGGGCAGTACATTCTTCCATTTCTGGTTCCTGTTGCAATAAATGGCGCTTAATTTTACAATTATTTTGTACGGAAGATATTCACGTAAGTATTTTCTGAAACTTTTTAGAGAAATTTAACCCGTGCTAATTTAAGTAAGAATCTTTAGAGTTTATTTTATTTCAAAAAGACTAGACATATATCCTCTATTTTTATTTACCAATTTTGGATGTTTGATATATGGAATCTCGCCCCTAAAAACTTCATATATTTGTGTTAAATAAGAAAACATGGCAAGTGTATCAGGAACATCGCATTGAACCATTTCTTCTCCTGTCATTATCTGTAAGCATAATTATTTTTTTCTTATCTAGATAATCTGTAAACATAACAATGTTGCACAGTAAATTTTATGATATAATATTTGTTCAATATCTAAAATAAATAGAACTAACAGTTCAAAAAATAAGCTAATATGCAATTATTGCGATACTTTTTCTCTATTTGATGTTCTGCTTAAGAATTATAAAACATATACAAATGATTTGATTGAAAACACACGCACACATATCCACAAAATTAGACAATACTGAATTATTTTAAAAATATCTTGTACTAAATATTTTTAATAGAAAAATATTTTGTATTAAAAATAAGGAAAAAAATATATCCAAATTAGTAATGCTTTTTAAGTTTTTAGGCTTCCACGGGTATTATCTTCATTTAGCATATTTTTATTCATTGCCAATGTTATGGCAATGGATACAAACACGGTGATAACCCGCAAACCTTCTGGTATCCAAATTAGTGATATTTAAACAAAAAGATAAAAAATATAATATACTTACCGGCGGTATGTTCAATTCTTTTTCTAATATATCAAAGGCGAGTTGATTGTTTTTCACTGTATCTTTCGCATTTAAGCTATAAAAATCTATTAAATCTGGACGGTATCTATGAATAATTGCACAAATAGCTAAACCATCTTTGAAAGAGGCACCTATATCTTCGATGTGAATTTTGTCGTATAATGCAACTTGCTTTTGTAGCCAGCGAAGCAGTGTGTCTGGATGAACTTGAGTGTCAGCTCTCAGATCTACATAAAAGTGTATTTGTTTTTCATTAAAAAATGATTATTTAAAAAATATATTTAAAAAATCAAGTAGTAATTTAAAAGTAACAAAAAAAGTTGAGAATCGCAATTTCGTAAGAGTCCAAAATTTTAATATTCCAAGAATATATATATATATATATATATATGTATATATATATGTGTGTATATATATATGTATATATATATATGTGTGTGTATATATATATATGTATGTGTGTGTGTGTGTGTGTGTGTGTGTGTATCTAGTATTTTTAATAAATTTATAATTTTTAATAACTCACCGCGACGTCTTCGTTTCTTTGGAATATCAATTTCAGATTGTATTGCAGACTGTTTGATACTTTCAGGATCGTCTGTGTCAAGAAGACTGCGCACTTGTATCGGAGTTACAGAATGTATATTTAGATTCGGATACCTTAAAAAAAAAAAGATAAAATAAAGTATATTCAATTATTCTAAAATTATTAGTATTTGGCAACAGACACTTGATACATATCTTTCTTATAATCTAAATAAATAAACTGCTTTATAGTTTTACAGCTTTCTTCAAAACTATCGTAGCACAGCTGACTATTTGGACAGTTACTTTATAGAGGAGACTTAAGTTTCTCCATCTTCTAGATATCTAAAGCCTCACTGATTTATTCATTTATAATTGATTAATCTTACCTGGTGTGAGGATCCAAAGTGTATGCAGCGTAATCTCTATTCAAATTCTCTGGCGTCGTCTGTCCCAACAGCCTGTATATGGACTCACGTTCCGCAATTACTTCTAACGGAGACAACGAAGCTCCCCAACCTTTGATTGTCCAGCCTGCATCCAGAGAGCTCAAAAATCCTCTCGCGCAACCAGAGCCGGTAGGCCAAAATGGCTGCAATCATTTCTCTTTTAGTTTTTCATTGAAGATTAAATTATAAAACAAGAAAATAAAAATCTAATTACAAAAATCAAAGAAACGCACAACATTAAAAGAGCAATAATAAATAAATAATCTATCCACATTCTATTATGTGCATTATTATAGACATTATTGTATTTTTAAAATTTTTTCTTAATATTCTGTGTCTAAAAGAATGGATTTGGATTTTATATAATTTCGAATAATGTGATAAGTAAATATAATACAAGTACATGTCATCTACCTCCAAGAGGCTGTCGCCTACAAGAATCATGAGCAGTCTATGACCATGACGCTCCAATACGCGACTTGCATTTTCGGCCGCGTACATTGAAGTAAAATCGAACATGGCTACGTCCGGTTGGCCATAATGATTCACCGCAAATTCCATATCCATCATTTGATATTCCGTCGAGAATTCCGCTGCTTCTCGCGCGTATAACATCAACGCTTCACGATCCACGTTTTCTTTCGCGAGTAGTTTTGCAGTGTCAGCATGATCCTAGAAATCAATAATAATTCATTTTAATTGCCATTCTGAGAAATAATAGGTATATTCTATAATTACAAAGTTGTATGTTTTATATATATATATATATATATACCTGCAAAATAACTCCTTTGTCGATTAAACTATGTTTCTTGGCAGTCATAACGAAATAATGAGTGTCATCTTTGTAATACACGATATTTTCCAAGTCGATACCAGTTTCTTGATACAATTCTTTAAAGAACTTTTGATTAAAGATAAAGGCGACACCACTGATTTCTTCTACGCGAGCTTCTGCCTCGGTCCGTTTATTTATAAAATTTGCCGTGATTGCAATGGCTAGTTTTCCACGAAATTCCTTGCGTTTAAAACCTTCCAAGGTATTTCTCTTACCATCAGCTCCAATTAGCACATCGAACTCATATTGGGAGACAGGATGGTCAGCTGGAGAAGTCTTTGCTCTCCAACCAATCTCTGACGAAAATATTAAATAGAAAACATTAGTAATAAGTAAATTATAAAAAATAATGAAGAAATTTTAAGACATCCTATCGTCAATTATTACTTACTGCCATCTTCCTGATTATTCGGTGGTTGAATCAGAGAATCAAAGCTTACACTCTCATGGAATTCGATACCAAGAATTAAAGCAACTTTCAGTAAAATACATTGCAATTGCCGAATGCTGATGTGATCTATAGAACCTGCGCAAAACTTTCCAAAAAATTTTTTCGCTCCTAAACCACGTAGATCCTGAATGACGAAAGGCCACAAATGTAAAACATTATTTCTGGACATCCGATCTCTTTTCTCCACCACAACGACTTTCGCTCCCAATAATTGTGCTTCTATGGCTGTGCGTAGACCGCATGGGCCACCACCGATAATCAAAACCTAATGTAAATAACATTAATTAAAAAATTTTTCTTATTGACGCAAAAAATAACTAAAAGGTAAAAATTAATAAATAAACTCTCGTATTACCCTCGTATTCGGGCATACTTTGCCACGATTATAGCACTTGTGATTCGCCCGTTGATCAAATTTCTTCCATAGAGCTTGTGCCTTCCACGATCGCAATTTTGTTTTCAATTTTGGATAAAACTGATTAACGACATTCGGCCGGATTTTTAATAATTCACACAGTTGTCTGTAGTAGCCAAGAATAGATTTCAACGTAGTGGCGTTGCAAAACTGGTCGAAAATCTCATTGGCCAATGCTGTCTCCGGTGAGTTAACCGCTTGCTTTTTGCCAATCTGATCCATCGTCTTGATCCTTTGCTTTTAGTTTCACTCATCAGTTCGTCATTATCTAAAAAAAAAATTTTATTTCCTTATTTTTTATCAGGATTATTTACTTTATTAAAAATTTCAATATAATATGATCATATAATATAGATTCCTAACGTCAGAATTTTTCGATTTTTTGATCTTAACATTAAAACAGAGTTCTGGAATGATAATTAAATTAAACGATATATAAAAACGATAAAAAGTTTGTCTCTATTTACTAAAAATATTTGTATCGTTTTTATTTATATCGTAACTTTATGTATACGTAAAAGTTTGATATTATCTATGAATAAAAAACAAAATAAATAAAGCGGGAAAAAGAAATGTCACAATAAACGCTATATTTACACCGTGCTTTTTAGCGGAAAATTTACCAGCGTAAGCGAATCATTCATCTCATTATTGATTCCATTGAGACGTGATGACTCTCGCTTATTCGCAGCACGTTCTTTTGTGAACAACCATAACACTCTGCACCGAAGGTGCTGATAGTCTACAATGTTCTTCTCCGGTTCGTTGAACTTACGGTCTGATAACTTTGTAGCTCGTCGCATGCATTCGCTCAATATTTCGCCAAGGAAAAATGGAAATATGAAAACTTTCTCATGCATGAATTTCCGGAGGAAGCAAGTTCATAAACAGCTTTTAATTCTAATTCTAGCTATTGTTCTTATTCCAATGATGAAAAGAGAGGGAACAATCCGAACTACGTTTTTGGGTACATTTTGAAATTTATTTCTGTTTGTTAAACACATCTAACTATACAACTATATTAAATTGCTATTCCGAACAACCATTACATATTTTACAAAATATTATTTTTTCATATATAATCAACACTTGCGGCTATGCTATTTTTGACTCATCTGATAATTCTTTTTTTCGTGTTAATTTGGATTTGTACTTAAAAATTTTTGTGACTTTTCATAAATAATCATAATTAATTACAAGTAATTTTACTTTTATGGTGACAACCTTCCCTAAAAGTTAGATTTTTTTTGAATCGCGATTGGATTAATTTAGACCTGCGGTTCTAGTGTTAACGAGAATTATTATAATGACTTTTGGATTAACTAGCTTAAAACGAACAGCTGGAACAAAAAAAATTCGTTTTTGAGCAAAAAATTAGCAAATTAAGAAAATTAAATTTTTTATCTATTGCGAATTTGATTTACGATAGTAGGGGGGGGGGAGTCTAAGTTAATGGAGGTAATATAAGAATAAATAGACATCTCCTTAAATTTTGTTATCTGTTCATTTAAAATTGACATTGAAATTGAAATCAAAATGCGATGCCCTTAATATCGATTTACTTGAGAAAATATTGAATATTCTGTGTGTATAAAAGCATTTAACTGATTTATTATTTTATTTGCCCTAATCTACTTATTATTTTTAAATTTTATTTTTTTATATTTTTATTTCTTTATAAGAAAAAATAATGATTAATGTAGTTATAATTAATCATTGAAAATAAAATGCTTTGTCATATATTATTTTCAACGTGTCATTATCAATAGTCAATTATAAAAATAGTACATGACAAAGTGTTTTTATTAACAATAGTTCATATTGAGCGTGAATCAACTAACTTGGTTGAAGATATTGTTCATTGTGCATTATTATTCTTAAATACATCACTGTATAATATATTAAAAACTGCTGTAACATAATCCGAATATTTGTATCTCAATGTTTTATTATTTAATGCTACATTTCTAATTATAAATAATTCTGGAAGAAAAATGATCTTATAAAAATATAAGAAGATAGAAAAGAATCATCAAAATAACAAATAAATAAATATTTCAGGTAATACATATTTTACTTTTACAAGCCGAATGATTAAAAAAAGTATATTGTTCAGGAAAATCATATGATTTATATGTATATATATATATATATATATATAAACACGTGTGTGTGTGTGTGTGTGTGTGTGTGTGTGTGTGTGTGTGTGTGTGTGTGTGTGTGTGTGTGTGTGTGTGTGTGTGTGTGTGTGTAAAGATAGGGATGACTCACATCTGGCAAGCAACTCTACCTAGAACAAAGTCGCTGTGATATTAAATGTTCTCCGAACAGAATACTTTTGATTTGATACATTTTGGATACTAACCGTTATTGTTATTGTTATTATTGTATTATAATGATTTCAAAAATTTAATGTCTTTTTAATACATTGAGAAAAAAATTTATTAAATTTTGATAAATATTTTCTCGAATAGTCCTAGCAGAATATTTATTTACAATAAATAAATATTTAGATAAATGAAAAAAATGATAATTAAATGAAACTAATGGTTCTTGTATTTAATAAATATGTGTTGACATTTAGTAAATATTCCGCTAGGACTATTAAAAAAAAATATTTATTAAAATTTAATAATTTTTTTTTCAGTGTAACAAATTCTTTGACTGATTTGATGATTTTTTTGTGTCAAAGTAAATTTCATTATTTATCTACAAAAACGTTGAAATTCTTGATTTTTATGCATCCTCGTAGCGCGCTAAGCCATAAGTTAAAATTCTATAAAAATAAAATATCTAAAATTATCTGAAAAACATAGTATACCTTCGATTCCTCAAAGTAATTTGCGAAAAGCTCGGTGTTTTCACTCAATCGCTTGTAACTCGAAAATTATTGTTACCTCGATACATTTTTGCAAAAATTCATTCTATTTATTATTATTATCATTATTGGAGAAACATTCAGGCACATTTCGAGACAATCTATACATAATTTTACATATATGTGTACTGTGATATATTTAATTCGATGACGATACGTAATAGGTATAGCGGAATTTTACTTTATAAATAAGCTTACTCGTGTGTGCCCATACAAGATACTCTCTTGGATGCGTACACAAGTGAGTCTGCAATCTGCATCTACATATATGCACCGTCATGTCATACGTGCTTTAAGAATATAGCAAGAGATATGCGTACTATGTGTACGTACTACGTACTTGTATGAAGAGCTGGCTCTGTCACGGTGCGTTGAGCTGCATGCAGTGCGTACATACAATCGTGTGTCGTATGACGATTGACGATACGACGAAAGAGGAGACTGCGCTCTCGTATCACTCCCGCAGCGTAGCGTTCTTTTGTAGGATCTCTTTACCTTTTTATAGCTCGCATTCACATCGCACAAAACATACACGCCGAGGAAGGAGGATGAGCGACAAAAGAGACGGAAGATTTCGTCGAGGGTGTGACGCTCACTGACTGTGCTGACTGTGCTGACTGTCACTGACGTTCACGCACCACGGAAACATCGGCTCGGCGAAATCCCATCGTCCGCACGCTCATAACGCTACACTGCGCTACACTCGCTACACAATTAAAGCTCTACCTTTACGCACAACGCCTAATCGACCTATTTTGAGTGGATCGTGAATATAATATCGCGATGCAACTCATCACTGCTCACTACAATTGACAACAGTGACAATCGTAACAGCCACTGACGGCGTGACGACGACTGATCATGGTGGAAGAGATAACATGATGTGTGCCATGGTGGAAGGGATAACATGAGGTTTATTCGCGTCGTATGCTCCAATATGTTCCAATGTGCTTGCTCCTGCTATAGCTCCTACTCACTTCAACGAGAGCGTTAGCGTGAGTAAATGCTATGATAGGAGTATTTTAGAGCATGTTAGAGCACGCGAACAAACCTATATGTGTGCAGTTGAACAGTGGGTGTTTACGTGAAGTAATCAGATTTCTAAATCGGATTGAACAGCGGTACTCAATCTGATGACTCTAAACATCCCTAGACCAATCCGGATTATAATCCGTGTTGTCTATGAAATTCGGATTTCGGACTACTATCGTCACGCGTGTTTCTCTTTTGAAAGGTTAAGTTTATAAATATTTCAGAAATTTTAAAATATTTTTGTAGCATTTGTTCGACTCTTCTCTATGTACTGTTGCTGTGACTTTGGTAAATCTACTCGCAGAAGGTCGACTAATCAAAACACAAAACTGTATTTTACTCTGTGTTATTTCTTTACGAAATAATATACTTTTGATAATATTATTTGTCTAATTTTAGAATAAATAGAATACAAAGAGTCCATAAATGAATGAAATGGATTTAATTGGATAAAATCAATAGGATATATGTTATAAGATTTTATTGTAAATTATAATATTATTATCGTTACTAAATATTTATTATGTACATACAATAATAATTTTAATTATTATTTACTTTGTCACAGCATCTTAAAATCCTTTGGTTTTGATATAACTGAATATCTGAATCATTGTAATGCGAGATCTACAGTAGGAGTAAAAAAAATATTATAAATATAAATTATAACACAAAATTTAAAAAATACAAATATAAGTATTATATAAAAAAACGTATGTATACTTTGTATATGTATATTAATTACATGTATATCTAACGTTTTTTAGACTTTCACAGGCGTCTTCAAAGCATCAGAAAAAGTTTGCATTCATATTCAGCGACAAACGAATCACGTGATTTCATATGTCGCTAACCTCGAATGTCGCTCATATAAATAGATTAGCAGCGATAAATTTTTTACGGTAATTATATTAATTGTATCGTGCTATAAAGTTTAAAATGTCATATCAAAAACGATATTACGATTGAACCTGTCAAGTTGATACGATTGTGCACAACAAAAATATTGCAAAACTATGGCAAAATAGACTAATAGCATCTGTATGCATTAATGAATGTATTTTTTAAAAAATATATAAAAAAAGAGATTTTGGGTTGATTCTTTACTTGAAAGACGAAAAATTATTATTAAAAAATTATCAACGAATAATCGGTTATATGCTTCCATACACCCATGAATCGAAATGCTCTTTTCGACTATCATCATTTTATATATGCCAAGTATATGTATAACAGCCATTTGAAAATTTCGTGAAATTATCGTA